ATTTTCTTTTGTCTCACTCAGGCATTCGTTGACTAATCTTTGTAGTTCAAAAAGAATGAATGCTTTTTAATTGGTAAATCCATTAATCCATGCTGCTGCTCATCCAGTTTCAAGACAGATTCATTTATTTAATTATGTTCTTAAGTCCGAACCAGGTATTAACTTGCAAAAAAGATCTTAGATATGAATTTAAGTCTGACTTCATATAACAACCTTCACCGTTCCCCAGCTGGACTTCCGGACACCGCCCGGCTTCGACCGGACGCGTAACGCTGAGATCGGCAACAAGGACATCAAGTTCAAGCACCTGGAGGAGGCGTTCACCTCGGAGCACTGGCTGGTCAGAATCTACAAGGTGAAGAACCTGGACAACAGAGAGCCGCTGGACCACAAGCTTCGCAGCGTCGTGCCCAAACAGAAGTACACGTCCAAAAAGGTAACGGGGATATTTCTGTGTTGTTGTGTTTTTTTTTTTTAATGATGATTCATGTTACATCACAGCGTGTGGGTGGTTCATTACAAGATTAATAATAAAAACTAGATCATTGTGACGTTATTGGTCAAAGTACATCTTTAAAAACACTGCGTCGTCCCACACAACTGAACAGTGGATGTCCCTCATGATTGAACCTTCTGTTTTACGTTGAAGCTGCTGTTTTAATGTTAAAAGTTCAGTTTCATACACAGTGATTTTTATTATCCAGTGATTTCTCCTGGATTCGGTATCAAAGCTGTTTCGGTTACAGAATCTTTTGTCAGATATTTTCGATATATGTCCTCTTCTCTCTCTCTCCCTCTCTCTCTGACCAGACGGCCAAGAGGAAGCGAGGACACATCAAGAACAAGCTCGCCCTGAGGAAAGGCAAGAAGCTACAGAAAAAATAATAACGACGATGACGAACTCTTCTAGGAAAACAAACAAACAAATGCGAAGAAACCTCTAACAACCAATGAAGAAGAACACGGGGGCCGTTTCTGTGGCGCTTGGTCTCAAGAGCTTCTCATTAGGGCGTCCCTGTGTGTTGAGGAAGTTGAAGTGTAACGTCTGGCTAGCACCAGAACTATTGTCCGTTTTTTCCTGAGGACTGCTGTCTTGCTTTTTTTTTTTTTTTTCCTCCTCCCTCTTGTTTTTGTTTTTCTGCTGTTAATTTTTTCTTTTGTACTTGAATGTTTGGTAAGGTATTGGGCTGCTCTACTTGGTTTTGGCGTCTGTTAATTTTTTTTTTCGTGGTACGTTAATCGATTGCTTATCAGTTGGGGGTTTGGGGGTGAAGGGGAAACGAAAGAAGACTTAGGAACATTTGCACCAAAGACCCATCGACCTTGCTCCGAGGCACATGTGAACTTATTACTGAGAATGAGGAAGTGCAGGAGTGAAAGCTGAGGACTTTGTTCCTGACACGTGTACAGAGGACAGTATGCGGTATGGAGGAACGTTACCGTCTAGGCACAGCTCATCTGTAATATTAACCTTTTTATCGTTATCATCATCATCATCATCATCATCATCTCCTTTCTGTCTGCTTGGCTCCCTGACCTTTATTTTTCAACTAATTCTTAAGACAAAAAAATTGGCCGAATGTGTAAATATGTGATGTAAAGAAAATGTCTAAAAGGATGATAATATATTGGATTATTGTGGTGATTTTTAAATATGCAGTTTCTCTCTTAATTTCATTCTGTCGTTCTTTTCGGAGTTTTTTTTTTTCTTTTCTTTTTTTTTTTTTGTATGACAGCAAATAGAACAGTGAATGCAATAATTCTTGTACAGAGGGGCTCCAGATTTTGTTGAAAAGAATGAATGTGAATTTTTACAACGTTCCTTCACCCCTCCCCCCCCCTCCTGTTTTTCATGAATTGCGTAGATTGTATATTTCTGCTGCTAGGGTTTTAAAGACGGACGCGCGCAACTGTGTGTAAAAAGTAGTGCTAATAAATTAGGCGGAGGGAGCTCTGCAGTTCAGCGAGCGAAGCCTAGTGCCTCATCCCTGGTCATCATCACCTCGTTGATTTGTAACCGTCGACCTTGTTCGCGTTTTGTTCGGCTCATCAGCCGCTTCTGCCGAGAGCTGGACGTTTTTAGAAATGTCTGGAAACTGACGGCAGAAAAGAAAACAGGCAAGAACTTCCATCGCCGTCTAAAACTTTAGGATAGAGCTGTGTCCCAATTCCACACTACATGCAAGTCCTACAAGTCGCGCTGCTGTTCTCAAATATGTCACTAAACATTCGAAGCAACTGTTAATCACTTACATCTGTCTGTGAGTTAAAAAAAAATATAGCAAACGTCCAAACGCCTGATGCGATGCATTGAAACGTCTCGTCTTGCCTGATAAACGGTTCAAACTATAATGATTTATGTTACATTCAACAGGAAAGCATCAAGTTTTCACATGTATGAAGCTGAAACAGATATTTGTTGATGATTTAAAAATGATTCAAATGATTTATAATTAAATAACTTGTCAATTCATTTTTCTAGATGTAGTTTTAAGTTCACTGTAGAATTAACAGCAATTCTCAAATACGTCTCTAACAAGTGTCAGGGATACAACCAAAGAGGAGTTTTGATTATTGTTCTTAATCTACCAATTTGTTTCTCGATGATTTGATTAGTTTTGTTGAAAATGTTGAAAAGAAAAAGAAAAAAAAAAAACTGAATAATACAAAACCTAAAAAATATGAAATCTTCACATTTGAAAAGTTGGAAATACAGAAATATACATTTGGCATTTTCAACTAAATCTTGACTCAAATGATTAATCGACAGTAAAGAGAATGATTGGATTTTTCAGTTAAGATGCAGCGACTGACCTTTCCAGACTTTACTAGAATCTTTCTGTGATGATTACGTTTTTCAAATTGTCAAATTGATATCACTTTGTGTCGTGTGTAAAATGGTGGAATGGCCCTTTAACTGTCTTTATCGTCGTTTCAGCTCTTGAACAGATACGAGATTAAAAAGGGTTTTTTGAAACCCTTAAATCTGCTCTATGATAAAACTTCAATAATTCTTAACTTGGTCCATTCTTTGTAATATTAGTAAACTTTAGCTGCAACTAATGATTATTCCATTATTTAATTTTCCAAATCCAGACGGACATATTGTGAATATTGTTCTGTTTCTGTCCAAAACTCAAACAAATGTAGAAGATTTTTCTTAGAATTTGCTTTAAAATGACTTAATGATGATTAATAAACAATAGTTTTACTTCTGTTAATCGATAAATCGTTGGAGCTGTCCAGATGAACAGAATGGGGTTGGGACATGGCTCCGATCAGCAGTAACCTGTGACCTCTGATCGTTCGGGCGCTGCACTGTTCTTTGTTGGTTAAACACGGGAGGAATTTCTGTACGTGCACGCTTCAGCTTCCTTTTTTTTTTATTATTATTTTTTATCAAGTGACACATCAAACGACTAACACATCAAACAGTGACTTTATTACTTTCATATTTTTTTTCCTCTACTTAAAAAAAAAAACTTGTCTCCATCACTTTGTTCTCTTTGCTTTTGATCTTCTCGGAAACTGAATGCCTCCGTTTCAGGCGTCAGACCTTCCGCTCGGTGCCGCGTCGTTTCCTCCTGTCGCACAAAGCCTGAAACTGTGTCACGTTTTTAGGCTTTTAGGCTCTTTTGATTTCTCATTTGTGGAGAGGAGAAAGTTGAGACTAAGCCTTAATGTGATGTACAGTTTGTCGCCCTCTTACCCTCTGAGTTGTTCGGTTGTTTTTCTAACGGTGGAACAGTTCTTTCCTCTACTAAGTTTGCTCATTTCTTAGTAGCTCAGTGCCGTCTGTCCCCGACACCGTTCTTTTGTTTGATGCAGTCCCTCCCCGCTTCTCTGCTCACCTTCAAAGTTTACATTTTTACATTGTTGTTCTGTTCAGTCATCGTTAAATATACACTTCAATGAAAAAAAACCCACTTGTGTTAGTTGTTATTGTTGTCGTCTCCTCCTCAGAAGTCACTGTTGGTCAGAGCTGTGGTGTTGATCCAGAGCTTCTCTAACCCGGCTGAAGACCAAGTGAACCACTTGATGGCAGCATTAGCCTTTAAATGAAGATGTTCGCTGTGAGTCTGCAGCAGTTTGTCCACAAAGTGACGTAATGCACAGTGTGGCGAGGGAAGCTGCTGCTGCTGCTGCTGCTGCTGCCGGGTTTCAGACGCAGTCACTTGACACGTGGGTAAAGAAATTGGTCGGGTGGTGTAGATCTTTAGAATCCCTGAGTAGAACCGACTCGTGAAGCGTTGTACTTGTACACACGGTATGCAAAGCAGCGAGCCGAACGCTCGTCAACCCCTGAATAAAACATAAGTTGAGTGTAGCTGGCAGCAGCGGATCAGCGGCTCCTGAAATAGCACTGACGTCACTTTCCTCAAAATAGGACTTAAATTGAATTTACAAAAATCACAAAATAATTGTGTTTTGTCCGTCACTTCGTTCAAAACACGATTATATTTGATTTGTTATCGTGTAGGTGAGAAAAAGCAGAAGATATTCACATTCTGTGGCTAAACATTACAGATTTATGTTTGAAACAATGACTGAAACAATTAACCGCTTTAGCTTCTTTTGATGAACTAATTGATAAGTAGTTGCAGAATTTTAAAGATAAATGTTAAAATGATGAATCCATCGCTCCAATATTTACTTACTGTCAATGAGGAATTAATTATATGATGTTACAGGTTTTCAGTGTAACAGATACATTACACTGTTTAAAGTCTTGATTATTAACTTTGAAATTAAGGAGTTGAATTATTTCTTTACCATACCATAAGCAGTTGGTAAAATATAGAAACTACAAATACTCAACATACAAATACCTCAAAAACATACTTACAGTTCATAGGTAAATGTACTTGGTTGTTGTAGCATGTTAGCATACAGTCGTCTCTAGCCTGGGTTGTTGATTTAAAGCATTTAGTATCAATTATAAATAAGAAGATCATCATTTTAAAGTTTGTCAGATGTACATTAACGACGAGAGGACATTGTTTTAAAAAGGTACAAGGTCTTTATTAATGGACATTTCCTTCATTTATCCACAATCACTGTCTACTCAGGTGAGTCCGGATCCTCTGGAATATAGAAAACTCCTTGTTGACAGTTTCACGTAAGGCGAGTGTCGGAGAACAGGGTGGAACAGCGGAGACGGGTCTTATTCTGTCCCGCGGTGTGATGGAATCGGCCGTGTGCTGTCACGGCTGAGGCTACAAACTGGCATCTGGTAAATTCACCTGGCTAAAAATATCAACACTACAATACGACTGAAAACTAAACTGAAGGAAGAAGCAGTGAAGCGTTAGTGTGAAAGTCAGGACAAAATAAAAATGTTAAAAAGGCCATAAAAACATGATTCATTGGATTTGGTTTTACAGTCGTCTGACCCACTGCGTCTCCTCTTCTATCCAACGGGCCGATTATCTTCCCAGAACCAACCTTCCAGCGAGAACATGGCCGCTCTCCTGCAAACCCTCATCCATATTCACGAGGGGGGGAAGCGCTGAGCTGGACGTGCAGCGGCTGCTTGATCGCCTCGGTCAAGGAGGTCATGTTTGCTTGTTGGTTGTTTTGATTGTGAGCGAGATTACACAAAAACTACAGAGCAGATTACCATGAAACTTTGGAGAAGGATGACGTGTGGGTCAGGGAAGATTTTATCTAAATCTGCAGCGGATCCAGGAATATTTTCCTCCTTTTGCACTGGTGGAAAAACCCACTAACGTCAGGCTTTCGTAGCATTCGACAGTAGACACAGTTTACGGGACACAAACAGAAAGGTAAACTCTACTGGTAATGGAAGAAGGGTAATCAAAAAAACGGGGTTCAGGGGACTGGTTTCAATCAGTCCTGTAGGTTTTGTGTAATCTTGAAAACTATCTTCTTCTGCTGAGGTCATTCAAAGCCACCAGGAAAACAAACCTGTGTTTTCCTGGTGGAGGATTAAGTGTCTGGAAGCTGAGTGCGAGAGGTAGTAATGGAATGTGGAGGCGTCTCACTCAGTGGGTGAAATACAACAGGGAAAAACAAAGAGCGTGTGGTGAAGTCGTGCGCAGGACGAGATGGGAAATTAACGTTGGATTCAAATGTGTCCAGATACATTCATAGTGCAGACGAAACAATCAGGACCTTTTACTTTCTAGTAGCTCACTGTCATGTACTGAATAATAATATATTTTAACACAGAATCTAATGTAGCACACACTCGGTTTCTATCCGATCAGGTATTTTCCATAAAGCTCCTGATTTACCCTGATTGGTAAAAGCCACTGATATAAAATAGTAAATTTATTTCTATGATAAAAGTGCTTCTTATAAACAACTCATTACACTTACGTACTTACACACAGCTACAGTATTATGTGTTACAGGGAACGTCCATCCACTAACGCTGCATGACAAACTAAAAGCTCTGGACCAAATGTCAACGATGTCTGAGAAAAAACAGATTGATCATAAAACACCAGTGGCAAACGTCATAACTGTGCATGTGCAAAAAAGGCCTTGGCAAGGTGAAAAATAGAAATACTCTACTTTGAATAGTAATACTCTTAACTGTATAGAAAAATGTACTTCTGTCCCAAGAGCTCTGGACCCCCGTCTCGGTTCTAACAGTGGAGATCCCTTTGGCACCTTGCTTGTTTGATGATTGTGTCTCCGTGGTGTCGCTCTGAGAGTCTGTAGGTCTCAGGTCCAGAGGCCTGCGGGAGGCGCTGCTCCCTGCGTCCGACCTCCTGACCTCCGTCCTCGGTGTGGGGAGGCAGGGTCTCGGTTGTTGAGGGGAGAGAGTTGCTCTGGTGTCAGGTCGACTTCCACAGTGGGTTGTTGTAGAGCCAACCGTCTCCCTGCACACGAGGGGGGGAAGGAAATAAGATCGTTAATGACAGTGTGAGGTCGGGCAGATGTTTTCTAAGATAGATAGATTTCCCAGAATAAAAACAGTCTGTCTCTGTCTTTAGTTTTTCCACAGGGCACTAGCATTAGCATTAGCAGAAGTATGCACCCTTCTACTTCACACCGTAAACAGCAGTGGGAGTCACTGGCATTATAAGTTTATATTCTGTGGTTAAAGTTCCTGGAATGTTTTGGTGAGGAACCGATTATTAGTTAATCTGGATAAATCCTGAAATTGTTGCAATCACTTTTCTGAAGAAACACTTTTTTTTTTTTATTAAGCTCCATGAATTATTCTCTGAGAAATCAATGAAAATGTTGAGAAACATCTCATCTCAATGAAAGACAGGAGCAGAATTTCCTTGAGTCACGTTTCATCCTTCCACTAAATTTCATAGAAATCGGTTCAGTAGTTTTGTGTCATCGTGCTAAACAAGTAACAAACGCAGACAAAAACTAAAGTTTACCAGAAGTACGTGAGAAACTGTTAAATAAAAACTCGTATCACTCGAATTATTCAAAGTAAAAGTAAAAATATTCCCTCTCTCCCTCTCAGTACTCCCTATGTGGCAGCAAGTTTCTGTCCCACGTGGTTTGTGATATATTTGGAAATGTAAGAGAGGCTGGTGGGAAATAAAAAGTGGGTCAGACTGAGTTGTACCTCTTTAGTGAAGTACTTGGGCGTCCACGGTTTGTTGTCGGCCGCTCTCTTCCTCTCCTCTCCCCTCTGCCGCTCCTCCAGTCTGTGTTTGTGCTCCGTGGCCTCGTCGATGTTTCCTTCCTTCAGCGATTTGGTGACGTGTTGCCATAACAACCTGTAAAAACACACAGTTGCATTAAACGCTCCCCCGTCAGTGACGACACGTTGCATTAAGTCTTTTTTTTTTATTTTATTTTTTTAACCTGGATTCCGTCCTCCTCTGTTGTTCCACCGGCCGCAGCTTCTTCCTGGTGACGGGGAGTTTGGCCGTGTCGATCACTTTGGTTTCCCCACTGCTGTACGTGAACTCCAGCGTGCCGTTCCACTCGCCCTGCGCTTTGCACACGATGGTGTTGGTCGGGTTGTGTTTGACCTCCGCCGTCACTCTGCAACGAAGACACAGGGAGTTAGAACTGACCCACACATTCAGGACAGCTAACTTTATCTTGAGCATTTTTATTTTACATTTTTGAAAATTGAAAACAGATTAAACTCGATCATTCCATCACTTTCAAAGTTCAGCAGCTTTAACCGACGCAAAATATCACATCTGTACTGTTCCTCCATCAAACTCATTCATGTTGAATTGCTTTACAGAACAGGAGGAAATTGTTTCACCGCAAATGTCAGGAGGTGAGTCACTGTTCTTCAATCACGCTCCTGCTTCCAAATGCTTTTATATTATTATACTTTCAAGTTTTACCCCGGATTGAATCCAGAGCCAGCGAGCATCAGCCTGACTTAACTGCTTGTGATGATTTTACTTTCAGGAAGTTAAAAGTTTAAAAACATCTCAGTGAGTTTGGTTTTTTAAATAATTAGACAAGATGCTGATAGGATATAATTGTACTTTATAAATCCGATTTTTCTGTTGATTCCCATCATAGGAATATTTGTGTGTTACAGTTTAAATGTCGTTTACGATAAAGTCAAATCTAATCATAAAAAAAATATTTTGTGTATTTTATCAAATTTAATTTAAAAAAAAAAGCAATTAGAAAAAAAGTGTGGAAGCCCGAAGCAAGTGAAGAAAGCAGCTTTTTAAATCTACAGCTATTAAAACTTTGAAATGGAAAATTAATCTTTTAAACGGAAAAAAGAAAACTTACAGACGAGTTTAATGTTAAAAATGACAGACTGTTTTTACTGCATCAGTCGTAGGTGACATCATCTGCCTGATATCTGATGTTCACACTGAGGAGCGGTGTCGGTGTGTAACGGAGTTTGAGATGATTTCTTTTCTCAGTGACATGGACGTGTGGAGAAACGAGGAGAACCTCCCACCTGTGAACCTTCCCTCCGTAGAAAGGCTTGGTGTGGAAGGTGACGGTGGCCGAGTAGCCGCTCTTGACGCAGCTGATGGAGACTTTGCCCCCCAGCTCCACCCAGGGCACGGTGAGGATGGAGCGGGCGTAGGCGCAGGGCAGCGTGAAGACGTACTCCTCGTCGTGCTCCAGCAGACAAAGGACTCCTGAGAGGAAGACGTTTAAAAATACGATGAGAAAATGCTGAAAATCTCCTCATGTTGGGAAAAACACAATTCTGGGGAGAACTTGCATCATGAAATATTAGTGTAATAAACATTAATTCAACCAATGAACTTGGTGTGTGTTATTATTTGCCTGCCACTGATTTTCATTATGCATTTGTAAAAGCCAGCAGCTGAATATTCCACATGAACATCTCATTAAATGTGACGACTAAACTACACATCTTATAGAGCCTTTAAATGCTCTTAATATTATTCAGGAAACTGCCTCTGAAGCTTTTAATCTTAATGTTCTGCCTAAACTAAATGAACCATCTTGTTCTGGGTACATAGGGAATACATGTACATTATTTATTAACCTGGCTGGAGGCAGCAATAATTGTTTTATATTACATGTGATGTCAAATATTCAGTATTGATTTTCGCCACTTGTAGGAACATTGTAAATACACAGTCACTTCTCCTTCGTGCAGTTCAAATCATCATCGTGATCAACGAGTTCACTCAGATCCTCACATGTTCTTTGTTCACATAAACACATGATTACAAAAGACGACTTGTGCAGCTGCGTTTCTCCGACTGACGCCTGCAGGGTTGAAGTGCATGTGGCATCACTGCGGCCACATCGTGACACAGAGCGATAAATCTACTGGAAGTCCTCGAGCCAGTGCACGACACAGAGGAGGCTTCAGTTCGCTCTCATGTGAAGAGAGCGTCCGATTGATTATCAGTCATCGTTTAAAAACAAGTCATTTACTTAAGAGAGGGTGAACTGTGTTTTAAGCTTTGCTTCAATTCAAAGGTTATTTTTTGAAGGTTTGTAGTATTGTTTAAAAAAAGGTGTTACACTGACTTAACTCAGTGATTGTTGTAATGTATTATTACTTTATTTACTTATTTTCAATTAACAAGCATGAGCTGCTTTTACAATATTCAGCCTCACACGTGACTGATACGTTGTGAAGGAACATGTGACGTCTGCTCAGCCTATTCTGTACAAATAAAGTTTGAATAAATAAATAAATATGTGTTAATTGACTAACTGTATTTATACTGGCAGCCTAAATGAACAAATAAATAATCGTCTTAATTGAAGGTCTTATTAAGCTGATTAACCAAGACAGTGAGATGTGTCAAAAGTGAGAAAGAAGATTCTCCAACATCCCTCAGATGTAAAAAGAAACTTCATTATACATCAGAAGGTTAGGATTAAGATTGGGGTTTGTGTTGAGTTAGGATTAAGGTTTAGGTTTAGGTTTGGCATCAGGGTGATTTTAAGTGATTGATATAAATATTTTTTGTGTCTTGTTGTGTTTGGATTCACCTTCTCCCACCATGGACACTCCTATCGACATCCCCATGAACTTGCTCTTGGTCCAAACATGTGCGTTGACGCACATCTGCCTCTCCTGACACTCGCAGTAAAACCCAGACACCGGTGGATGATGGGACACCTGCTCGGCCACAAATCGGACTCTGTAGCAGCCTCCCGGCGAGTCGTCGCCCTGCTGAGCGTTGTTGGGGCCCCTGCTCGGCTCCCTGGTCGACCCCTGGTTCGATCTGACCGAAGGTTTGACTTTGTCCCGCGGGACTTCCCAGGAACAGTGAAAGGTCTCCCCCAGCACAGGGTTGTAGGGCTTCTTGGCCACGGCCCCCTTACGCCCCTCGTGGAAGGCGGTCAGGTAGTACTCCACGAAGCGGATGATGCGGTCTTCTGCTGTGGCCCCGGCTGTGATTGACAGGAACATGTCAGGGTGGGCCATGAAGTTGGCGTACATCTCCAGCAGCGACCGCTTTTCCAGAATGAAGGTGGGCAACACCACCTGAAGAAAAAAGAAACGTTAAAGGGAAAGTATTTGTTGAGGCAAACACAGAACATCCATCCACACTTTGCTCTCACCCGAGTGAGGTCCATGCCCAGTTTGAGCTGAGAGAGCAGGTGGAGGATGATGCTCCGCTGGTCGTCCAGGACGCCGAGGTCCTCCTCGTCGTTGTCCTCCGTGTCTGTTGCCTCTTCACTGGGGCTGATGTCTTCCAGCCCTGGGGGGTGCTGTGAAGACAAGAGCAGAGCGTGTCAGAGAGATTTCTTCCAAGTTTCATGGAAATCAGTTCAAAAGCTGTTAAAATAATCTTTCTGAGAAACAAACAAACCAACAGACTGAGGCGAAAACAACCTCAAATAGAAGAAAGGGAATTTAAGAAAACACAATAAAGTAAAATAATTGGACTTTTGAAGAGGACGGGTACAGAACATCTTAAATGATTCCACATCATCCTCTACAGTCTCTGCTCCGCACATTCACAGCTCTGACGCCGCTCCTCGTGAGACCTGTCACTAGAAAAGGCCAAAAGGGGGAAGACGAAGCCATTTTCCTCCGCCAACATTCAACTGTCAATACCAGCGATAAGGTCACCCAGCTCGTTTAGAGGCGAGCTGAGGACCTGTTAGAGAAGCAGCCTATAAATACCAGAGGACACAACCTCATTTACTTGACACTGCCGCCCATTCATACTCCGCTCAGCCATGTCATCCAGCCTTTCAAGCCACTCTCAGAGTTTCATGTGACAATTGAAGCGGCGTATTTTCTCCGAGCAGCCTCTTGTTTGAGAGCCTTCAGCATCGATCCGCACAATGCCTCCATTGGTCGGAGCACAGAGAAGCGTGTTTCATTTGTGCTCCGGCATTCGACTGGAAATGGATCCAGTGGAGGTTAAAGAAGAGCACATGTCTTTGATATCTCCTGCAGTGACTTGGGGCAGGAAGGAAGAAGGAGAGGAAGAAATAAAAAAACAAGAATGAGGCTGATGTATAATGCAGAAAGTGCTCTCGAGCCTGTGGGCAACAACAACTCCCTGCACCTCCCATCCGCCCCACTGCTCTTCATCCTCCCTTTCTATCGGTGTCTCTGAGCAATTACAATCATTTATACATGTGTCCTGTTTTCATCTTGATATCTCATTTCAACGCAGCTGCAGCTTGATGTATGAAAGAGCTAAATAAGCAGAAAAGCTGAGCAAAGATCTGAGATGAAACTACTGGCAGCATAATTGCATCTCGCGGCCCTGCAGAGAAGAGGGAGAGGAAAACGCTGAAGAAAACCAGATTTCCAGGACTGAAGCGCCTGTCACCTGAATATTTCATTCAATGCATGCACGCCAAAAGCTCCACACATCCACTCACACATTAACACAATGAGAACACGTTTATGCACAAAAGACACACACACACACACACACACACACACAAGGGAACATGCTTGAACACACATGAACAGGAGCGGGTGGCAGAGTGATATATATAGAAGTGAAAGGAGAAGGAGGATGGGGGAGGTCTGTTATGATTCCACTGGGTCTTTATTAATTAAAGAGGCTCCTTACAGCAACCGGAAATTACTGCTGAACAGTGAAGCCCGTTGTACGACAGCGTATTCGTTCGATCATTTTTCCCTCTGTACGATCGACGACGCATCGCGTTCGATAATTTGATCATTTTGTGACACTTGGTATCATCAGTTGGAATCTGGATCGTGACATCACGTCTTTCTTCTCAAAGGATCGTTTCTGTATCTGAATCGTTTCAGAATCTCGACATTGAGAAAAGTCTGGTTACGATACTTCCAGATTTCCCATGTGGCAACGCTGCTGCTGCTGAAGGTGTCAGAGCGTCTCTGCAGATCCCACGTGAGCCCAGAGTGCGTTTGGGTTTAGGAACTAAAACTGTGACGAGAAAGAGACGGTGTGAAAAAACACCAGAGGTTCAAATCACGTTGGTCTTTACAGTGAGGAGTCTGTTTGAAATTTGTTTTCACATTAAGCCTTCCATTAAACCTCCGAGCTTCAAATGTCAGACCCCCGACAACAGGAACGCCCCCTCAAGTCGGAGGCACCTCACCACCCCCCCACCTCAAAATCCAAGATGGCTGCTACGTGAATCAATGGTGGTGAAATCTAAAGTTTTGACAGTTTTTGATCGACTCATTAAATGTGTTGCACGCATGGATCCAGTTACTGTCTGTGGATGTTTCTTTACGACTTTGTTCCTGTGTAGCACGATGTTTATCTTGGAAACGGTGTAAAAACACGCACGAATAGAAACGTGACAATATTCGTAAGTCACGAACAGACAAAACTACTAATGTTAGCTTTACAGAAGAAACCTTCGCTAAAGGGTTGAAGTTGTAACTCATGGTTGAGATGTCAACACGTTTTAACATTTTGATTGAGTAAAATAAAAGATATATAGATATTAAATATACTTTTTTTCATTCTATAAATTCAGCATATTTTATAATTGTTTGAGTATTATTACGTCATTTTGAAGGAGTTCATTATGAAAAACTTGTTCTATTGATAATTTTTTTGTGCTTTAGAGTAGAAACAGATCACATTTCCTAATCATCTTCAGTTTCAAAAATAATTTCTACATGTTGAGCAGCAGAACGAGCAGCGCTGGTGAGATTACTCAATAATATATGAAGTCAACAAAAAACTGGGCTCAACATTTCAGAGGAGAGATGTTTTTTTTTTTTACCAAAATGCAAAGAGTGAGCCCACAGGCTGCAACTCCACTATCCACCCCACATCCAAACAGAAACCAGTTCACCATGCAGCGGTGCATTCACACAAACTCCAGCGGATAAACACTCACGCTGCATTGCTGTGGAGCTACAGGCTTGACCTGCATGAAACTGGATCTCATCTCAGAGCGGCCTCAGGTGAACGCCAACAACCGTGAAATCCAGCACGAGGAGGGAAGGACGACGGGACCAGAATCCAATTACAGAGGTCAACTCAAAGGTCCGATAGACAAAACCCAACTTCACAGAGCGAGTGAGCCGCTCTCTGACCGGAGCCCAGGGAGACAAAGTGTGAGTTGAGGTGGTAGTGAGCTGCTGTGCGTGACAGAGCGTCTCTCCTCTCTCACCCACCTCCCACTCTGAGGGGAAAAAAGACAGAAACAGGGAGGAGGAGGGAGGAGGAAGCTGAGGAAAGTCCCCGTGACGTTTCCCTCTACACCCTCCTATCATCCCTGTGCTACATCTCTTTCCATTTTTACCTCCACCTCCTCCCTCTCCTCATCACTTCCTCCCTCCTGTTCTCCTCTGACATGGCCTCCCTGCCTTCATCCCTCCTCCCACCTCTACTCTCTCTCTCTCAGGAACACATGGACAACACATTCTCTTTATTTTTGTCATCCCTCTGCCTCTGTGACCATCTTCTCATCCCGCCAGCGTCACTTCTAATTGACATCACTCTTGCCTTTGATTCATTCTTCTTCTTCTTCCTCCTCCGCCCTCGTGCTGTCATCTCTGTCGCTGCTTCTTCCATTCACCCTCCCTCCATCGTCTTCATTACATCATACCATCCGCTATTCTGTTTCATCGTCATCCGTCTCCCCCTCCATTCGTTTTTCTCTCAACTTTCCTCTCCGTCTCTCCCTCTCCTTGTGTCTCTCTCTCTCTCTCAGAGGAGAGTGTGGGCGGCTGCAGGAGGCTCAGATTGGGATGAAGATGGGCCAGGACTCCTTTTTCCTCCACTCCTTCACATCCATATTCTTCATCCCTCTATCCATCTCCTCTCACTCACTTTGTCAACAGATAAAGCAGTAAGAAGTAAATCTTATCTCCAGGCCAGGGAGGCTAATAGATTGGAATCTATTGGGCGTCTTAACGTGACGAGTTTCTCCGCCTGGTGACATAAACTTTACCCACTGAAGTCGACCTGCTTCAGTTTTTCATGGGTTGTAAATCTCCATGGATCACGAGCAGCAGAATAAATAAAACAGCTTCTTCTAAGTCTTTGGCTGAAGCTGGAACATGTCAGAACAACAGGTCCATTCCAATACTGACAAATAACAGAAGAGAGGAGTAGAGAGTTGTCAAGGCAACGAACAATATTAATTATCATCTCCACCAGTGAGGTGATGTTTTACACCTATTTGTTGTTTTGGGTTTTTTGATCAAGCAAAATCGACAGCAGATTTCCTTGGAACTTAGTGGAAGGAGTCAGGAAACGACGGGAACATTTTGGTGCTGATCTGGTTCAGGTAGCGAATCCAGGATTATTTCGTTTTCATTATTTTTGGGGTCATTTTAACACGTTTCCTATGAAAGGTTATTTTCACAACATGACAAAAAGTTGTGATCGATTTTGCAGAGCTCAAACTGTCGTTTTTTACCAGAACCAAAGCTCAATGAGAGGAAATAGAAACAAAATTCAACTTTACTTAGTAAGTAAATTATGATTTGATTAGGAAATAATCTCAAAAGCGACAAATCAACTGTCACTGCTGCTCAGACACACAGACACATCACATTATTCTCCTGCCTGTTAATACTGACGGATACATCAGACACTCTGCAGCTGTTGTGGAACATCTGGTTCGTTTCACATCATTTCTCAGATATCTGTATCCAACACCAAAAATCTCAACACGCTTAAAAAAAATCCACCTCCTCTTCGACTGTTTGACATTTAGTCAAACACTGACTCAAATCCCTGCGTGTGTTGAACACATCCTTCATTTAAACAAGGATCGCTGCCTGCAGGAGCCAGATATTTAAATAACTTGATGAGTTAACTACTAAAGTGGGAGGTTTTTTTTTTCTTTCATTCTTTTTTAGCTCCTCTTCCTTCCTGTTAAATGTCAGGTAGGTTTTGAATATTAGTTTCTCGGGGAGATTCTGAAAAGCTTTTGAGCCTCTCAAGGTTTCCAGTTTGGCTCTCAGTTGGCATTCATCTCAAAGACACTGTTATTTTTTTACCTGGATTGTTACTTTACATCAACTACATGAATGTTTATGGTTTTTATTTAGTAAGATCGACAGCAATTTTAAGTTGATTGGCAGCTATAAAGAGATTTTAGTGATGAACAGATGTCTGCTTACAAGACCTGAAGCACAGACACAACACACGTGATTAACAACAGATTTTAAAGCTATCAGCCATTTCAGGGTATAGGTGCACTATATATATATAATATATATATAAATGGATGAGTGAGCCATGAAGGAGAAAGTGGAACAACACAGAGTCAGATCTGACAAATCTCTCCCTCATCTCCTTCTTTAAATAAAAAAGAAGAAAGTGGGTCTGAGATGTTGAGTTCCAGTGCTTCATATATAAATTATAATGAGCCGTTACATCAGTGCAGCATCTAATGAGGATGTGAAATACAGCCGGTGCAGGCTCTCTCACACACACACACACACACACACACACACACACACACACACACACACACACACACACACACACACACACNCACACACACACACACACACACACACACACACTCGGGCCTACTCCAAGATTAAAGGAACTAATTGCACTTGGGGTGAGTCATCTGCAGGCTGCAACAAGTTTAAGCTCCAGCAGCTTTAACAGTAACAGTGCAGGTCTTTATGATTGTGTTTTTTAACAGCTGTTATAAAAAAGAATCAGTGATTATGCTTGCTGTTATAAAAACTTTTATTTTACAGAAAATACTGATTATTAGATGCAGGGTTCATGGATGCTATTTGAATAATGTGATTCATTTTGTTTACGTGTGTTGTGCTCACTGGGAAAACACTGACTCATACAGACTCTGCTGCCCTCTGCTGGGAAAACACAGACAAAACCTCAGAGTGGGAAAAGGACACGAGAGAAACAATTTCCTGACTCAACCATTAAATGATTGTTATTGTATATGTTCCTTCTGTTTATTCTGCACCCAGATGGCACAGTCACACACATGCAAACATGACAGGCCAAAGTCACCAGATTTGAACGAAGCCAGTTTTCAAAGCGAAGCCACGCTGCACATTTTCTGCGCCACAGGAAGCAGATGTTTTCTCGCCTACTATTTCACACATTTTGCACGTGTGAGACCGTGCCCTTATTCTGTTGCTGGATAATAATCCAGCCAGCTAGATCTGCCCAGTGCTGCTCTTCCTGAAGAGTCCTCCTCGTTTTAAGGTTTGTTATTATGGAGTTTTCCACTTTTCTGAATCAAGAATTTAGGGACGGAAGTTACCAAATCAAAAAGGTTGATTTTTGTTTCAGAATTAGAAATGATTTGACATTCACCTGGTGCCCCATTGTTTTTATAAAGATGTTTGACAGACTTTGCGCTCATAAAGAATTTTTTTTTTTATCTCTGATGACAAAAAAATAAGTAAAAAGGTGAAAAAATAAAACTTAAATAGACAAACACTCTTCTCAGTTTCCTTGTTAGATATTTTAATGAGCTCTCTGTTCTCCAGCAGCAGGTTAAATCCACAGTATAACAGCAGACAGGTCTAATATGTGTCTGGGGAGTTTTGCTGCTGCTGGTTCCAAATGCATAAACCCTCCTGATTTCTACCAGCATCAGCAATTCTTCCTCCATTTTCCCACAGTGAAGCTCCGGCCCCTGTGCTTACTCTCTCTCTCTCTCTCTCTCTCTCTCTGGCTGCACACTTTGCTGATACATAATTCAAACAGAAAAACCTTTATTATTCCGGGGTAATGCGTTTTCTCCCCAGCTCTGAGGACTACTCCTGAGATTACAGTGAAAATGGTAAACTGGCAGACGACCAAGATTATAAAATGACGATCACATCTGAGGGAACTGACCTTCAGCTCTGATGTTGAAGGTACAATGTCACGGTGACACCTGAGTCACAAATGCTGGAACTGCAGCAGTGCAAGAACACTTGATTAAAAGCATTTATTCGAGTATTTGTTTCTGTCGTTGGCTTCGTTCTAAGAATAAATATCAAATATCACAATATCAATATTTAAAGTCGTCTTGATTAGAAACCTCATGATTCAGTGGCTCAGAGCACTTTGTAGTTAATCCCCTGCATTGTGTTTCCCTGCCACAAGATGGCAAAATACCCAATCGACCAGATCCACCTTCACAGTGACAAACATATAAATGATGATACAAATCACTGTACTCCATCATCCAACATTACCTCATCACTAAAGGTAAACCTCGACCTTCCTCCATCTCCTGCTCTGTTCTAACTTCCACTCTGGACGTGATGTAATCAGACGCATGAAGCTGCTGATCTTGTTAAAACGTGAATAAAGTGTCAGTGTCAAGTTGCACTAATGTGCCTCAGAAATCTGTGCTGCATAGAGCACATCCTCTGTCCCGCTTCTTCAAACAGCAGCCAGAGCATCTGAGAAGGCTCTGATGAAATGTGCCTCAAGCTGCAGAGGGAACATACGATGAGTGACTTTAAATCTGTTTAGACGTTTTTGCTTCTTTAAAACGGTGACGCCTCTTTGACTTGGGATCACAGATGTCATGGTACTATTTCAGCATGGTTCAATTACTCACAAAATACACCCCCCTCCACACACACCCACACATACGCATATAAAGGGCGTGTGCACGTCTGGGGGTCAGTGACCATCCAGAAAGATTTTACTGTCTTCAGCAGTGACGCGGTGACCACACCCCCTGGTAAAAAAGAACAAAACCACTTTGACACCAGCTCCTCGTGGTTTTTCCAGAATCTTCACGTTATAAACAATGTTTGCACAGACAGCAACATATTTCCTCGTGTCATAACAGCTGATCATTTTTTTACTAAAGCAGCTGCAGGAAACCCGTGAAATCCCTGTTTGACAGGGAATTGATATGCTGCACACATTCTTGCATCGCTCAGATTTATTTTTTTTCAGTTGACAGACAACTCTGGCAACTACTGTGACACAGAATCTTTCTGGCCCGAATAACATTTGTGGAAATGATTCGTGTCTGATGCTTCATTGTGGCTACAAATGTTTAACACAAAAGAGAAATCGAAGTCATTTTTATAATTTCCTTAACGTCCATATCTTAATTTCTATTATTTTAAGACTTTAGTGGAGCACAGCTGCAGGAACACACTGCAGGTTCTTGGCTGTGAGCTCCTGAATCATAGCTGCAGTAATACCGTCTGAATTGTCTTTAAGGCGCCAAATAACTGTGAGGAGCTGCCCTCCCTCCTCTGCTCTTAGATGAGGACCCTGACGAATGTTGAGCAGCTCGACAATTAGCTGTAGATTAGCTGACACTGCGACGTTGTTATATCCATTTTACACTCATATGTCAAACGGAAATGATCATTAACACGACAGAATACATCTCTGTGTCGGATTTGTCAGACGTTTTTACTTTTTTGACGCTGCAGCCTCCGAAGAATGCGACCCACTTTATGAGATCTGTGACGAAGCTAGAGAAATAGTTTATTAATCACCGAGACTATAAAGAAAATGATGTTAACCAATTCATGTGACTATGATTCCATCCATTTATGATTTGGCCCCTCTGTGTTCCCTCTAATCCTTTTATGACAGAATAACTGACTGAGTGCAGACAGTGTGAATCTAGAATGAAACCATGGGTCTCTGATATTAGAGCATACATGTATATCTATTTTAGCTTTAGATGACACAACTCAAAATAATCTGTTTCCAAGGGAACAAGCCAAATACGCCACCAACATGCAAAATGCAACATATGGAAAGATCATTTGCGTAGCAGTTTATGAAATGCTTCAAATGGATTAAAACAAGTTGTTTAAGAGTTGGAGTTATTCATGTTGGACAAAAACCAAAGCACCAACGTCAAATTCCTTCTGAGCGTCACACTTTCATCCCACAACTCGTTCTCTCCACCTGACTGACGCATGTTTACGTCATTGTCAAGCGGCCTCACTGATGCCGGGTGGTCTAGACAGTAAGACAGCCGCTCTCTGCAGCAGCCAACCAGGCAGGAATTAATGAAACCCCCTCCTGGGATCGACTCAGTTCCAGCTCTATACTGTGTGACCCACTTATCCGACAGTAGCTCTGTTCAAACTTTGAGAAGCCACCACTGCTTGCCTCGCTGCGCAACAAGGCCACAGAGAAGAGAAGAAAGTGAGAGGGAAAAATCCTCCCTTCCTTAACGTCGTCATTACTGCAGATATGTTTCAGAGTCTGCAGGACTGACGGCCATCTGTAAAGCAACCTGTCAGAAACACTCGACCGTGAAATCACGCCAGGCAATACTTCAGTGTCCCCGAGGTCGATTGTGCAGCCTGAGAGTCTCAGTCCCACATGTGACCCATAATAAACTCTCTAACGCAGCAAAACACACAGGAGAGAGGAAGAGAGAGAGAGAGAGAGAGAGAGGAAGAAGAGCACGATGCAGAGCGGACCATGATAATTGACAATGTGACGTCATGTCCCTCACCTCAGCACCATGGGACAGACTCCTTATCCTGAGGGCCGGCGAGGGCTCGGCTGATCGCAGAGGGGTCAGACCTCCGTTCTTCAGCTGCTCCCCTGAGGGCGACTTTGGTACAGTCCACACAGGAACACCATCTGAGGAAATGACAGAGCAGGGTCAGAGCCGATTACTGGCTGCTAGTTAACCACAGTGAGGGGGGGGGTACTGTTGTGTTGTTGTAGTGTGTGTGTGTGTGTGTTAATGCCTGATTTAAGGTTTGACAGAATCAAAGAGGGACGAGGGAGGAGACACACGCCTCCTTTTCATCTCCCACATTCAATATTGAAGTTCTCATAAATGTTATCGAGCTGAGGGTGTGTGATGGAAGGAGGCTAGACAACAGGAAATTGTGTGTGCGCACTTGTGTGTGTGTGTGTGTGTGTCTGTTGAAATGTAATATTTGTTCTTTATCATATCCTGGTCTGTTACGATGTACAGATTCACCTCAATATACAGAAAAGACTAAAAATGATGATTATTTTTCACTCCGAGCAACAAACAATGAACTGCAGGAATATAAGAAACCTACGTCCAGGAGTGTTTGTCTCATATACAGCCACAGCTGAAGTTATTACAGTTATATAGGAAATAAATAATGTGACAGCAGTCGACTTCTACTGACTTCTGGACTTTAAGAGGTGATAATTCAACACAATGGTTGTTCTTTGAGGTCATAGTTTGCAGTGCTGTTCAGCTAAATCTCTACAAATGGCTTTCGAGTCTACAGCCAAACTACGAGCAGGCACTTTGACACAGCAGGGTCATTGTACTGTCAGGTGTTTGATAATAGTTCTTTTGTAATCTATGAATGAACTGATGACAATTCAATGTTTTTCAGGTTTTCAGATTGAACTGTGCATTGATAAAATTGCCCTTTTGTCCATCAATAACCCAGAATGACCATATTCAGAGCCTTGAATTTGGTTTGGAGCATCACAAAAAAAAGTCTGAATAGTTCTGTAAACAAGAGACATAACACGTCTACATTTCCTGGGCATCCAGAGTAGATTGGAGGGCAGAAAGGCAATTTTATCTACTAAAAATGTATTTTACAACACAATAAATAAAATGGGCCATAAGAGATTGAGTCTGAGGACTTTCTGTGCATCACGGTTGATTCCATTTCAAAGTAATGGTAATGGAACAGCACCGGAGGCCCCTTCTCGTCTCCAATCCCAAAAACTAAAATTGGGTTAAAAGTCTAATGCACCAGGAGGTTTCTTTAATATCCATTAGTGAGAAGCGAGCTGCACTGAAACAAGTCAGGGTGCTGCTGAGCCTGAGGCCAGACGGACTCCACCAAATGTGCTGCAATAGCCCTCAGGCCAGGCCTCCACTTTAGTCGACTGACAGTCAGAATGACAGGAACATGACGAGTGTTAGCGAACCCTCCTCTACAGATACCTGGTACAGTGGAGACATGAGCTCGAGTGGCTCTGTGAGGCGTGAGTGAGCTGCAAATATTGATTGAATTTCTGAGGTATTTCTTGAAAAGGTGATTCTCAAGACATTCGGAGGTTAATGGGTTCCTGAGAGTTCATTTCAGGATAGAGGTGTAGGTATAAGGGACATAAATGGCTGGTTAACAAATACAATGACAGACACATCTACGTTCTCAGAGATGTCACAATGAAGCACCAGAAGTAGAAATATTCAGTGAGCTTGTGGGGGGGGGGGTGTCTGGGCCATTGGATAAAAAGCATGCAGGTGAATCCAGAGGCTGTTGCAGATCAAACAGTGAAGAGACAAACATTCATGCAGAATCTGAGTCCAATGACTTCACCTTCCATTTCTGGGCTGTGACATCAGTTCATATTTTGTGATCCAGCTCTACACGTTCTTCTTGCTTTAGATTCTTTATGCTGGGCTGCAGCAGAAGGTGTTTTTGCAAAGTTAATTTCCTTTATGGATTTTCAGTCCTTTAAAGGAAAATGTGTGTGGGTGGTGGAGAGTTAAGCTCTTCAGGGGAAATAACAGAGGGGAGGGAATGAGGATTCAAAAAGAGCTGGAGCAAGCAGCAAAGATCCTCCCTGACATCAGCTGATAACACACTGGTTTGTGACTGGCAGGTTTTTGGTGGGAAGATCCATTCAAGTTCCTTGACTCTCTAGAGCTGACACAAACAAGCTGCTCTGGTTTTGTTGTAAGAGGAGCCAGGAGGGACCAGCGTGCCGGCCAAACTCAGTCCGACCTCATGCTCGGCTCTCTACCAAAGAGTTGTCTTGCCCATGCAGTGGCAAAGCTTTCCTGTGTGGCCGGAACAAAACCATTCAGCCAACCAACCAACCAACCAACAAACCAGCCACGCCCTTTATCAGCTGCAGCAAATCTGGAGGCTGCCCATGCCGGTGAACCATGATTCCCATCCCCCAGGCCGAACCCAGGATCCTAACAAAAGACTCCTCACTGAGGTGTGGGGGGTACATGCCGGAAGCGGGGAGCAGCTGGACCCCCACAGGACTTATCAGCCAGGCAGCGGAAGGAAAGAAGTTTGTACTTGCGGCCCGGTGTTCCCACTCCACACCACCCCCTGTCTGATGAACAGGCACAGGGCAGGGGGATTGCTGGTGCAAAGAGAAGACCAACAAACTGTGAGGACCAGCAGAGTCTGGATGGGATCCAGCACCCAACCAAACCCAGATCCCAAAGATACCTGCTCAAAGTAATCCATGGACTACGCTCAACATTAATCAAGGAAAAGACGAACCTGTAGGGTTTAAAAGATGGCTCTGAAATTTCAGTAGTTTTCTAACTCAGGGGACAACAGTTGGAAACAGTTCTAAACTTCCAGAGCCAAATTCCAGCCAAATTCATGCTTCTTCGTTGAAGCTACAACGTAGGTACGCACATAGTCTACGCAAGGGGCTGAGAACTCATAGTTATGTGAAGGTGTGTGTGAGTGGAGCTGCAATTACACCGCCGAAACACTAGTGGTGGTAGACTTTCTATGCTGGTGTTGCGTGTATTCCGCTATCTAGTTTGCGTATGTACAAACTCTCTGGCGTCTCTGTTTACTTCAGTGAGTGTTGATAAGCGCAGAATTTTTCTTAAAGAACTACAACGATGAAAAGAAAGACGTCGCCCGTGTTCGTTCCTTCAACTCAATTCGACTATGTCGGCAAGTCTGCCAGAAACGTAATGCTACCAAGCTGACCAATCACAGCTCTTGTGGTCGGTGTAGGGTACACGTCTATGTGGAGGATACGACGTAGCTTCGACGCAGCAGCATGAATTGAGCTTTAGGATTTTCAGTGGAGTATTACTTTAAATCATCTCTAAATATTTATGCTGCTGTTGATTTGTAGTGACCAGGAGACTGTTAGTTGATTACAAATGTTCTTTTGTACTTTGGAAAATGAAAATAGTTCCAACACTTGATGTCTAATCTCCACTTGTATTTTGGCTCTACCTTCCTCCTTTAGGAAACACTCTGCTCATCCCTATCCTTGGTGTTATGCCAATAGAACCACCCTCAGGCTTTAAATGGTTTCAATCGAAACAACTTTATTGGATCCATCTTGACCTGGCACAAAGAGGGTTAAACATGGCAGAGCTCTGACATTTTAGGCACCAGTGTGGATTCCTTTGGCAAATACGTAATCCTTTGAGGAGATTTAGAAGTGCATAGTATACGTCATTATAATTACCCATTCACACGTAACCCTGATTTTTTCCGACATGCACATAAGCTCACAGTTATGCTATCAAAGATTCGGTAAACATTGTTGACGAAAAAAAGTTCATGTTCATACACACTTCACATTCAAGCTTGTACTGGCACAACCATTTTGGAGGAACTACTGGCATTTCAATGCAACCGAAGAGACAACAATGAATGTAACACAACACAGAACTGCACAAACAATTATAAACTATGACAAAAATGTGAATGGAACCAATTTACACTCAACATTCAACAACATTTACTACAAACAATGAAGTTCGTGGTACCGATCAGGCAGGGACAAGAGCCGCAGTTCAGCTGCCCCAGCTGGCCCTTGCCACTGGGGATGGGATCTGGAGGAGGGGACTGGAAAGACAAGGGGGATAGGGGAGATGGAGGAGTCGGGGGCTCCAGTAGCAGCACTGGAACGGGGCCCGGGGCAGACTCACCGGAGGGGGCTCCGTGGGAGGCGTGGTTGCGCTGGGAGGCCTGAGACTGAGGTGGCGCCTGGCTGTGGCTCTGGGTCTGTTGGAGGATGTTCAGGCACTCTCCCAGGCAGCTAAGTGTGGCGGCAGATGTGGCCTTGAGGAGGAGCAGGTCCTGGTCCAGGCAGGAGAGGGGGCCTTTGGTGGGTAGAGAGTCAATGGACTGGACCAGGTTCTTCTGTTGGCCCTCGGCTTGGGACATCACCTGCATACAGGAGTGATGCACAGTATTAAAATACACAGTTAACAATATCATTACTCAAATTACTAGTGAGATGAGAGTTCAGAAGAATCTCAACCGCAACTGACTCAGATGTTTACATTCTCACATACGGCCCCTCTAGAAACTTGTAGTTCAGTGCGTGTGCAGAGCATCAATTTGGTCTTGAACACAACTGATCCACACCACCAACTGCTACGTTTCCAGAATTATAATTTGGTAAAACTCTTCAAATAATAAAACTTGGCCACAAGCTCTCACTCTGACAATTATTTATGTGTCTCAACCTCGCAGAGTCTAAATGCATCACAAAAGTAAAAACGACAAAGTCAGTTCTCGCTCGCAGGTGATAAGCTTCTCCCCGGGCTAATGAATCTGGGTTGTTTATCAGCCTGGAAATGTTGTATTCATTAATATTGTATGGCTTCACAAAAACTCGTCCTCCACACGCACTTCAGTCGCACATCTGTCTCCCTGCATCAGAACGCAGAGCTATTTCCGAGCCACCGACAGCAGTTGTGCTGAGCTTATGTGGCGAAGACGTTCATGTGAAGCGAGTTTATTTTAGAAAAAGCAACGAGCTTTTTTCGAATTAAACTCAGGTCGGATGTTAAACTCTTCAGGCAGACGGAGCTCAAATTTTTGTTTCCGTTGCTTGTTATAAATAGATTCTCGGTGTTCAGCGAACTGATCCCCTATCGCTTTCTCACTGCCCTTCAAATAATCATGACTTGCTCTTTCATTTCACGCAGCTCTCTTTTTTATCTGAAGCTATAAGACAGATGTTTATGTGGCCTTTAAATGATGGACAGATGAACGGACTTCACACAGGGCTGAATGTCATAATTTAACTCCTTTTACTTTGCACAGTGAACGATTTCTCCATGACAACATATAACAATTCTCATGCAGGTGTGATGAGTTAAATCTGACTGATCTGCTGCAGCATGAGATCATACGTGCTTAGGATCAAATTTATGATGGGAACATTCACTACGGAGAGTGAAGATGAGGAGGGGATTATGATGCAGAAGTGGCTCCAGATGTTTCTGTGAATGTTTTCGCCATGAAAAATGATCTTTAATAAAAGTCAGACTGCAAGATAAGATTTTCAGAGACAGATGTGGACCTTTAAGGTTTATTAACAATCTGATAACGATGACATCTGTTTGTACTGTGCAGGATACAGTCAAACAATTCTTTGAACATTTCTGTACTGCAATTTCATAATTTCTCATTGGCCGATATGACAAAGATATTGATCATCTGTGATTAGCTGGTACCAGTAGATATAATGAGCCAGCTTTGTTATGCCAAGCCATGTCCATAGAGTCCCTTCAGACAGACTGTGTTCTACATGTGCTGTGGATCTGAGCTGAACACAGCTTTAGGTCTATATATGACTGCGAGTCATGACTGAAAAACAATATTGTTAAAGAAGATTTTTACAGCATTCGTTATCTGTGTGTATTCGTTTTTCGAAGGGTTCAACCTGAGGCCAAACCACAATGATAGCAATCATCATTCCATACAGGGTTAGTGGGATACAGCTGTTAAAACACTCTCTATCACTCATTTGGTGTCTGATCGGTTCTCGGTATTGGCCGACATGAGAACATCTCTATTTAAAAGGTTAAACTCTCATTTACTGTAGCATAGACATCATGCAACATGAAACTGACGTGTGATGAGCAGAGACTTAGAGGAAGTGTAACTGCATCTGTGCTTTACAAATGATACCAGAAATCAGAGCTGCCTCGATGCCTGTATTCACCAAAGTGGCCTTTGGCGGGTGGCAGGACATAAAGTGTGTTGCCATGCAACCTTGAGTAACTCTAAAAAAAAAAAACACACCATATGACATAGTCGAAAATAACACAGCTCGCTGGGTTTTATGGTGCCGGGTAAAATGAAACTCAGCCACCTTTTCTTGACGGAAGCAAAACATGACATTTTCCCACAAGCATGACAAAACGCCTGTAGTGGAGGATTATTAGACCGAGAGAGACGAGAATATAAGATAAAGAGGACGAGATGAAAAGAGATAAACAGCTACTGAAAAAAGGAGAAACCCAAACAACAAAAAAAGAGTCGAAGCTAAACATGAAATAAGGTTTAATCCCTCAGTACACCTGACAGAATAAGGACACACAACACAAATCCTTTTACAGGTCCTGAGTGTAAAACTGTCAGAAGGTGAAGATCATAAATGAGTCCTGAATAAGAAGAGTCATCTTCAAACTGCCACTGAAAAACACTCAGATTAAATGTTTAACAAATGACCTCTTCCTTATGTTGCAACACAAACTCATAAATGTAAAAATAGACCTGCAAATGCATAGAAATTGAGTTTTGAATTGATTTTGATTCCTGTGTTGGTGGTGCAGTTAATAATACACATTTCTTTGGTTGGTTTTAAAGCAGGTTATTCTGGTGCACATGATTTTAAAAGGAACACAAAATTGCAGCAGACCTCTGCTACAGAGCTAAAGAGTCAGAGGGCTGATGGTAAAGGCCGTTTTTTTGTGGTGTTGTACGCACAAACGAACACACACACATAGACATGCACACACACACACGTACAGACACACACACACACACACACCTCTGGAGCCAAGGGGACCAGGGCTGCTTCCAGAAATAGCCTAACCCAGTGATCCAGCTCGGCTGCAGCAGAGTAAGTGCCCAGTGGTGCTGCTGCACCAGGAGGCGTTTGATGAGTCCGTGCTGTGACAAGCAGG